GCTATTAAAATGAAACCAGTTTAGATAACTCTCAGTTAAAAACGTTTTTCTTGCCGAGGCTATGCAGATGAAAAGGGAAAGATGTGGAGTTACCAGCAAGAGCGAGCGTAACAGAGAATAGTTTTGATTAATGAAGGCGTACAAAAATAAAACAAAGCAGCTGAATGCGGCAGTGCAGCTTGAAGCCAAATAATTGTGTCCATTTTTATTCATGGTTTTTGGAGTGATACATCTTATAAAAACAAGCGAACTGCTGAGGAATAAAATCTAGAGAGTCATTTAAAAAAAACCCCAGACTGCCAGAATTCATCACAGGAAGAATTTAGCCACTGATCTAGTTCTAACAAACCACAGCCCGCTTTAGTCAAGAGTATTAGTGGCATGGGATTTTTTTTAACAGACAGCGAGTAGCAATGATACGCTCATGTTGATAGCCTTTAAACCAAGAACTAAGACTTCTAGACTGGGGCCAGGGGTTAACTCTCCCTTTCCTTTCAGCAAGGGAGGTGCTGTTCAAGAGTTCAGTCTTGCTAGCCAAAACTAGCTTGTGGGTGACGTCAGCCTGTCGGGCTGTTGTTGCTCTGGAGGATGCAAAGCAATGCCTTGGTTATCTTCTACTTTGCTCTGGGGAGACCTCCCCTTGGAGCCCTGTGTCCAGCTCTGGAGCCCTCAGCACAAGAAGGACATGGACCTGTTGGAGCAGGGCCAGAGGAGGGCTACTAAAATGCTCCGAGGGCTGGAGCCCCTCTGCTAGGAGGCCAGGCTGGGAGAGTTGGGGGTGTTCAGCCTGGAGAAGAGAAGGCTGCGGGCAGAGCTGAGTGCGGCCGGTCAGGGCTTAAAGGGGGCTCAGAGGAAAGGGGGGGACAAGCTTTTTAGCAGGGCCAGCTGTGACAGGACAAGGGGGGATGGCTTTAAACTGAAGCAGGGTGGGTTTAGACTGGATCTAAGGCAGAAATTCTTTCCAGTGAGGGTGGTGAAACCCTGGCAGGGGTTGCCCAGAGCGGTGGTGGAGGCCCCATCCCTGGGAACATTCCAGGCCAGGTTGGATGGGGCTGTGAGCAACCTGATGTGGTTAAAGGTGTCCCTGCTCCTGCAGGGGGGTTGGGCTGGGTGGCCTCTGGGGTTCCCTTCCAACCCAAAACATTCTGTGATTCCGCCCTGGTGACCCACAGCTGAACAGCCACCTTTGTCTGGTCTGGTGCTCAGAGCAGATGGTGGTGGGGGTTTTGCAAGGCCAAGGTGAGGTGCACGAGGAGGAGCTCCCACCCAGTACCGTGGGTGCTGGGGAAAGGGGCGGTGTGGTGGTTGGGGGAGGTAGTCAGGAAAACTGGATGGACTTGCAACTTGGTTCTGCTGATGAAGGGTGAGCCACCTTGTTTAAAAAAAAGTCCTTAGTCATTACAGGACTGTGGTAAGATAAAACTCAAGGGAGTTTTAATAGTTGACCAGAAAACTTTGTTTGGATTTCCTGTGGCTTCTGTTAAGGGGAGGGGACAGATGTTGGCTGTTTCACTCATCCTACCAGCTGAAGAAACTTCAGTGACCTGAGCAGTGGAGTCTGACAAATACAAAGAAAAGAACTACAAGAAAATAGCTGGAGAAACAACTGTGGTGAAGCTAAACTGACTGGCAGCAGCTGGGTGTAAGGTGGCAGAGAGAGGGAGTCCTGTTATGGAACAATGTGAGTTTTACTCTGTGTATGCAGGGGAAGAAAAAACAGCGATGAAGCTGATGGCAAGTGTGACAGGTCCTAAATGTGCTGTGTCCCTTGCTAAGCACAAAACTAAAGTCTTTACATTCTGAAGCTGGATTCTGAGAGGTAGTTGAATAAATGGTCCGAGTGTCAGTTGATCATAGAAAATAATTAAGCTCTCAGCTTTCTCACAAGTGTTCAGTAGAGAATCAGGAAGAGGAGGAAGGGGTGGTTCTTAATTCTAGAATAGCTACCTTGACTTGAATTAGGAGCTGTTCAGTAATAAACTTGTTCCAGAAGCTTTTAACTCTTGAAATTGATAATTCACTGGTGAAAGGTCTACAGAACCATGTAGGAAAACTGAACTAACTCTGCTTTTGGGTTCTTGGTGTTCTCGTCACTGAGCAAATTAAGACCTAGTGAAGCTTTCGGTTTTGTCCCACTTTGAAAATCTTTTCCAGTTTACGTGAATACTGGCCAAGACGCCAACAGCATCCTGGCTTGTATCAGGAGTGGTGTGGCCAGCAGGAGCAGGGCAGGGACCGTGCCCCTGTGCTGGGCACTGGGGGGGCCGCCCCTCGACTGCTGGGGTCAGGGTTGGGCCCCTCCCTCCCCGAAGGACCTGGGGGGGCTGGAG